TTATAAGGAAGTGCTGCACTAACTTCACTTGCTATTGTTATTTTTATATTCCTCTGCTTTCCCCCTTGCTTTCTGAGAGTCTCTTCTATCTCAGACACGAGACTCCATTCAGGAGAAAACCAGCGATTCGCCTTCGTGCGGAGTTTTGCACTTTCCTCTTGACCTTAAGCAGACACTCGGTGGACTTTGGTTGAATCACCCCCGTTTGTGATCACAGGGAGAAACCACGGGCAGGGAACTGCTGGGTTCCTCTGGAGGAGAAAGAAAACTGCAGGACTCCTGAGGATGACGATGAAGGACTTCAGGCAGCGCGAGGGGTGCAGGGCGGATCACGGAAGAAGCGCCCGGCCAAGAGAGGGCCGGGCGTGGCTGCGCCTGGCACCGGCTTGTCCTCTTCCTGCACCCAGATGAGAAGCACAGAGGATCTTTCTTTTTCCTCTTCATTTTTCCTGCTGACACATCCTTTATTCAAAGTGACACAAATTCCACTTACTGTCTTTGAAAATGACTGTCTAAAAAAAAAAATAACTTGTTTTACTTTTTGTACCTTAAATCCTCCTAATCCACTCTCTCTCGGCTTGGCGTGCCTTCTGGAACAGAGAAGGTGCCAGGCGCCGCCTCCTGCCCGTCTCTGCCGCCCCGTGCCAGGCCCAAGTCTCTGGTCTCGGGACTGGGGAGGGGGCACCCACAGGGGAGACTCCCCCGCCCCCCCACTGCAGGCTCCCTCAGCTCCCTGAACTCCTGGCTCCCACCTTCCATCACTCCCTGCGACAGAGCTCCCAAATCTTAGTCCCTGTGCCCACGTGGGGTTTGCTCAAGGGCCCCTGTCTGCCCTGAGCCAGTCCAGCTCCGTGTAAGCCTCCAATGGAGTTGTGTCATTTCTTCCTTGTCCGGCTGCCCTCTCCCAAGCTGTATCAGTCGCCCAGTTCTTATCTCTTCGCTCCCTGAAGGAACGTGTACACACGGTCACACTGTTCCATCTTTACAGGAACTCAGGGGCAGGAAGCTTCGCACAGGTGGGGCAGGTGTTTTGCACCAACTTGCATATATTATTTTGTTTTCACTTTCTTAATGTCTTTATTGTAATAGCTATCATTCTGATTATCCCACATGTAACATTATTGTTTCTTAAAATGTCTAATGCATCTTAATCAGACATTTGGTATCCTAAGTTAACCACTGTTGAGGCAATTTCATGGAGATTATGTTTCTCAAAATCTTTTTTTTTATATATTTTGTAATTTCTTTTTTAAAAAAATTTCAGAATATTACAGGGGTACAAATATTTTGGTTATATAAATTGCTTTTGTACCTTTTGAGTCAAAGTTATAAGAGTACTGATTCCCCAGATAGTGTGCACTGTAGCCATTAGGTGTGAATTTACCCATCCCTTCCTCCCCCTCCAACCTGCTTGATTTCCGGTGAACGTTATTTTCATACATGCATGTAAGTGTTGATCAATTAGGTCTAATTTAATGATGAGTACGTGTGGTGTTTGTTTTTTTGTTCTTGTGATGCTTTACTTAGAAGAATGGGCTCCAGCTCCATCCAGGTTAATACGACAGGTATTGTTGCAGCAATGTGTACAGCTAGTATTATAGCTCTTGACCGAGGAAAGAACCGAGCAGCACACGAAGAGTTGGAGAACAGCCTTTATTCCTCTGGCAGGCTCAGCACATCTAGCGCTACAGCTCTCTTCCTGTCTTCTGATCTTCTGCTCCCCCCCTTCCTTGTTCTCCTCCTGCTTTTATACCCTTGGTAGGGCTCAAAAAGTGTCCAATCAACTAGAAGCTTTAACATCCAATCAAAAACAGTTGGCTTCAAAAATTACCCAATCAGGATCACACAGGCCCCGAGACCGGAAACAGGTGGTAGCACGTGGGCCCCGTGGCATTCCAGCACGCAGCCCCAGGTGGCACTCGGGTGCCCCGGGCAGCTCTCTGCCCCAGGGCCCGGCCCCAATAGTGTGCCCTCAAACTGGCCAAGGGCAGCGCTGGCCCGCGGAGATGCGGAGCCACGGGGAGGCAGCAAGCGGCCGCATCCCAGCGCCCGACATTTTCTGTGTCAGTATTAGTTCACCATTTTTCCTTTACACCTGAGCAGCACTCCATGGTGTGTCTATACCACATTTTATTAGTCTCCTCATGGATTGATGGGCACTTGGGCTGTTTCCACATTTCTAAACCTCCTAACAACTCCCAAAACTCTCTCAGCTGCATCACCCACGTTCTAGAGGTGAAGATGAGGATGGTCCTCATACCCTTTAAATGACAGGGTCAGATTTCAAACAAACATCCCACCCCAAAGCACCCCACCGACCCATCTCGTAATGCCTCTCTGCGTGGAGTTCCTCTCTCCACCTGGAGGGCAGGAGCCTCAGTGGGCAGGGCTCGCTCTGTGCCAGGGTTGCTTCTGCGCACGCCACCGGCTGACATGCTTACCCACACTGCAATTATAGATCGGCACCACTGCTGCCCCCACTTCAAAGGTGGGGAAACTGAGACACAGAGAAGTCAGGTCTGGGAGGCCCAGAGCTGAGAAGGGGCACACAGGTGGTCTGACCATCAAGTTCACCATGGACCCTCCTGCCCTGAAGAACAGGACTACGTGTAGGGTCCTGGATCCCACAGCCCCTGCACTCTGCTGCATAGAGGGTCGAGTTCCCGTGTGTTTTCAGATACATGCATCTGGAAAGCTCTCAGAGGGATGGGGTGATGAAGAGGAAGTCCACCTAGAAGAGCAGCCCGGGAGACTGGTATCAGAGCTGCTAGGTCCTGGAGTCCTGCACTGATCCCATCCTTTCTCCCAGAGTCTGGGAAGATTCAGGTTTTACTTCCTCTAGTGGGGCCCTGGAACTTTGTAAAATCCTGGGCTCCATTCTGGGGCAACTGGGAAAGAGGGACATCGGCGAGGCCCTGCCCTGGCAGCGAGGCTGGAGTGGGTCTGGTGTCAAGGCCCTGGAGCAGGTGGCCAAGCCCAGGCCTCTGGGAGGTTAAGTCCAGGTGAGCTGCACAGGTGTCTGGGAGTTCCCATGCACATGTGCCTGTATCCTCCCTGTTCTGCCTGGGCACGGACAAGTCCCAAATGTCCATGTTCCTTCTCCCCTTGTGTGAGGTCTTCAGATCCCTACCCAAATGCAGCAGTGGGACCTAGAGAGCCACCCAATGGCTTGGTGGGGGTTTCCAGAGAAAGACAGCGTGCAGGGGAGTTGAGCAGGGGCTACTGCAGGGTGTCCTAGAGAGCGAGGAAGGTATGCATACGGAAGGGCCAACAGGAAAAGGAAAACACAGACACACTTGGGAAAGAAAGCTTCAGAACAGTTGGAGGTTGGAGCACGAGAAGGGAAACAAGCAGAGAAGAGTCCTGGAAGGGAAGCCTTGGTGCCAGAGGACATAGGAGGACACTATGCTAAGGAGTTTGAACTTGAATCTGAGGGCTGTGGGAGCCACTGAAGCAAGGATGTTGGCATCACCAAACCCACAGTTTACATATCGTGTGTGGCCTGGGCTCCGGGAAAGCAAGTCTGGCCTCTGGAGGCACACTCCAGTAAAGGGGGGACCCCAGGACAGACCACTGGTAAGGGGGGGAGGGAGCAGGGGGGGTCTGAGAGATGTTTGTGAGGTGACTTTGAATACAAGTTTGGAGGGAGGCTGGGGAATCCACGATGGTGGGTCCAGATGGGTCCAGATCAGATAAGGACAGTCTCAGGGGCCTTACAACAAAAATCCGAGCTGATCAGGATGATGAAAACTATCAATAACATTGACCGAGCCTTCACATATGCCAGGGGCTTTTTACATGGATCTCACATGTAAAAAATAAATAAATAAATAAATAAAAAAAGCCAGGATGCAAACCCAGGCAGCTGGGATCTCAGAGTCATACTTTTAACCACCATGAAATTGCTGCTGCCAAGCCTAGCTGTGCAGATGTTGAGTTTTGGGGATCAAATGGACATACAAGAGTGATTCCCAACAATCCATCAGATTGAGAGTACCAAGTTCAGAACCCGATGAGAGGCAATTAGATGGATCTGCATGGTTTTCAACAATTACAAATGTAGAATAGAGACTTAGGGAGATGAGCTCCTAGAGAAAGCCCAAGGATTTAACAATAAAATCCTGTTCATAACAGGGCGTGGTGGCTCACACCTGTACTTCCAGCACTTTGGGAGGCCAAGGGGACCTCCATCTCTACCAAAAAAAAAAAAAAATCCAAAAAAATTAGCTGTGAGTGGTGGCATGTGCCTGTAGTCCAGCTACTTGGGAGGCTGAGGCGGGAAGATCACTTGAGCTCAGGAGTTTGAGGCTGCCGTGAGCTATGATCATGCCGCTGCACTCTAGCCTGGATGACGGAGCAAGACACTATCTCTAAAAAAAAAAAAAAAAGAAAAGTCTGTTCACTCATTCTTATGCTAAATCATTTACTAATTCACTTAGACTGTTCATTGCATCTCTGTGGATCTAGACCTGCAGTCTGTCTCAGGCCAAATAGTACGGAACTTAATGAAAAAAACGAAAAAACGGTGAACACCAAAAAAAAAAAAAAAAAGTCCGGAAAATAAAACAAGCAAAAAAAACCAGGGCCAACAAAAAAAAAAGCAATTAAAAATCAAACCCGGTGAAAAAAGGGAAAGGGGGAGACACCAACAGAAACATTGGGTCACCTCCGCGCTAACAACGCTCACCTCCCTCTCTGTGGCCTTGCAGTGCACTGTGTTCTCCATCAACAACATTTCCTTCTGAGTCTGTAAATTCCTGGAAGATATGTGTGCACATACATGTAAAAGGTATGAGTCATTCTTATAGAAAGATAATTCCTGATAATGTATGGGCTGAGTGAATTTCTAATAAATATCTTTAAAACTAACCACCTGAAGTCTAGGAATGTCTGTTGTGGAAATGTCAACAGCGTATAAGCAAAGAGATCATTTAATTATCTCTGCCGACTAATAAAACTAATCTGAGTTTTATTGTCACATGGATTGTGATGGGGAAAATTATCACACGTTTAATGAACCTGATGGGATGTTCCTTCTCATACCAGCTTTGTTCCTTGGGTAGACTGTGGCAATTATCTCTGTCTTTGCATTGTGCTTCTTTGTGTACTTTCCTTGTCTTCCACACCCCTTGCAACTGACAAGCTTCTACAGAGCTGAGAACTTCTGGAAGATTGAGTGGGAGCTCGCAGAGGTAAACAGAGCTCTTGTCACATCCTGGCTCAACCACTCAGTAGTAGGGTGATCTCAGGCCAACCATTTATCCTCTCAGGACCTCAGTTTCCCAATATGTCAACAGGACCAACGACATCCAACTCGAAGGTGGGTGGTAAGGATCAAATGAAATAATGCAGGGGGGAGCACCCAGAACGATTTTGATGTTGAGCTTCCATTGACATACAGTTGGATGTAACTTTCAACACCACGAGAAGGATGAAATTCACTCTCAGGCCAACTGTGATGAGGTTTGTCTGCTGTAAGGACCCTAGGGTGGGATTTGGAACATTCACGAACCCTTTGACATTACTGGCAACGTATTTACAGTGAGCACACATGCATTCTTTCTTCTGGGCAGAGAGGTCATTGCTCACATCATATCCTGAGGGGTGTTTATGACCACCTGATGCAAGAGACATGTGAAGAAAAACGTGGGGGTCACCAACCTGAGTCACCGAGATTCCCCGTTAAGCCCAGACTTGCCCGCCCAGCTGTAGGGAGTGTGGTCTGTAGACAGCATCTGGCTGTCGGCTCCACCGGGATCTACCCCTGCTGCAGAGAATGGCTCTGCCTGAGGTTACATCCTTCCCGGGGCCACTGTGCTTTGTGACTGAGCCAGGTGGGAGCAAAGATCTGCCCCTTTCACCAACAGGTGACACCTTGTGAGGTGTGACTTGCCCGGTACAACTTCCAGAGACCATGGGGTTACCTGAGCCGTGTTGTACCTCCAAGGAAGTTCATCTTCCTGTCCGGCTGCCTCTCCTCCTCCCCTTCCACTTGCAGGGGTTGATCCTTGACAAACACCTGCACCTGCGCTCCATTCCGGCTTCCGCTGCAGGAGAGCCCGACCAGGGAGAGAAAAGGAATAGTAAGAAAACCAGGAGGTCAGGTGAGAATGCGCGCTTATGGAAGAGTCCAGAAGAAGTGGAGGTCATTATCAGGGTAAAAAAAAAAATAGCTGAAAGGCCACAACAAAGGCAGAAGTTGTTCAGCTGGACCAGCAACTAGCCCTGGGGCCCAGGGAAAGCACAGTTTTGCAGGACCACGGGGAAGCTTTCGGGCAGATATTTGATAAGTCGTCATGGTACGACAAAGAGGAGACAGCTATTTAGGACCCTTCTTTGGAGGCAAAAATGCTGGAGGAGGGGCTGGGTGGGTCCCAGGGTTGAAGAGAGACCCGAGTATGTTGATCATCCACAGAGATAATTTTCAAAAATCTTTTCTTACAAACCACATCTTCCCCCTTAGAGAAATGTCTGAAAACCCTTGGCAAGAGCAAGCTTTCAAATCTCCCCCAAATTATTAAGTCAAGTAATGGGCTTTCGGAATATAGGAAGTTCAAAAGGCTGTCAGATCGGAGCCAGACATCTGAGGAATGTGCATACCCCTAAGAGGAGGTGTTCACCCATTAAGGTGTATCAGGTGGCCTTATCAGGGAGCCCATCGGCCAGTCACAGGACAGGTTATTGTGTGTGCCAGGTCGCTCAGAAACGGCCCCTCCAAAGTGAACTGAGAGCGGTGAGCCCAGCCCTCCTCTCCAACTCTTGTTCAAACAAAGCACAGGACTCTGCAGTTAAGGCAGAAAAGGGGAACTGAAAGAAGATTCTATGTAACAAGGCAACTGGATCCTTGAACCACGAGGAGTCATAGTCCTGTGCCAGTGACTTCCACGTCACTCTGGAAGGCAGCCTTTCCTGGGACAAGACTCTGCCCCATCAGGAAGAATTCTATTTTGAGCAAACACACCACTTGCCTGGGTTTCTTTCGTGGAAAGAGATATGACAGAATTTTCTGAATAATATCAGGCCAAAGATTTGTGGCAGAATGCGAAGATATCAATGAACTATGTCACGAATTGTGCATCAATACTGAAACTGACCCTTATCTAGTCTTCTGCTGGAAAAACTCCATTTCCGCTAGGAAGGGCTGACATTACAGAGACACACCACATTTGGGTGCCCTTTGTCACCTTCCTTCCCAACCCTCCCACGTGGCCTCCAGCCCCCATCTTGCTTTCCTGGTTTCCTGGTTTCATAAATGGTGGTCTAACAGAATTAATGTTCTGCCCAGAACAGACACTTACACAAATTCATCAGGCTCAAATCCTTTCCATCCCACTTTTCTCATAGACCTGTTTCTTCAAGGCCAACCCAGCTCATCTTCCCCGGAACAGTGGCCTTTGACACTGGGCAAATCCTCTCTGGGCTTCAAAACAAAGAGGGTGAAATAAACGATGTTCTGATTTTTAGGGCTTGATAAATGCTAACAAGTCTGTGATTCCCAATGCAAATTTAGGGTTCTGTGTTTAATACAACTCAGATTTTACTTCTCCAAGGCAAAGATTTAATTGTGTTAGGATATTCCACGGAAAACAAGCAATCATTTTGATAACTCACAAGTATAACTTGTCTTGTAATAATAATATCCGTATGACCTTTCAGAAATTATGAAGTACCTTCTCATTTGTTATTGTGTCTTTTAGTCCTCAAAATAGAGCAGGTATCACTCTACTTATAGGTCAGAGTTTGAGGCTTCTGAAAGCCAGTAAAACCTCTCTTGCTCAAAACAACTAGTCCATAGTGGAACCCAGATGGTTCTAATTCCTACTCCCGAGCTTCTCTGAGAAAATTCATTTCTTAAAAACATCCTATATAATTATTACCTACGCAACCTTTGCAAACTGTTGTAAAAGAACTACTTCCAGTGTGCACGTTTTCCATGATGAAGCTTTCTTCTATGTTAGGCTCCTAGTTCAAAATTCTGCTAAAACTACTAAACTTTCATAGGAAGGAATTTTGAAAAAAAATTTTATTGATATATAATAATTACTTAAGGGGTTCATGTGATATTTTGATACATGTATACAATATGTAATGATCAACTCAGGGTATTTATGCTATAGAGATCATCTTGAGCATTTATCATTTCTTTGCATTGGGGATATTTCAAATCTAGTTATTCTGTAATGTACAGTAAGTATAGTGTTAACTCTAGCCATCCTATTGTGCTATCAAATACCAGAACTTATTTCTCCTATCTAATTGTATTTTTTGTACCCAGTTAGCAACCATTCATACCTCTCCACTTCCCAGCCTCTGTTCACTATCATTCTACCCTCTCTCCATGAGACCATGCTCTAAAGGCTATTTTACGAACAGCTTCATTAATGAGCCAGGGACTTGGGATCCTGGCAAAATGGCTGCTTCAGAACGGGTTTCTCCCCAGAATGCCCTGCTCTGATCACATGACCTGCACACACTAGAGACACAGAGCCCAGGGTGCTCACTCAGCAGCACCACGATGGTCGGGTTTGTAATTTATAATGTGAGGCCAACCAACACATTCTATTACTACAACACGTGAAGAAAACCTAACGAGAGGAGTACTTTAAACTAATCTCTTGCTCAGAAGCAGCATTTGCAGCTCTTCACTTACTTTTCATTATTAAACCACAGGAGAACTGTTTCCAAGAATTATTATGTTAAGCAATATATTAAAAAAAATGAGTCTTGGTATTTTTTGCAACAAATAACAGTTAACATTTATTCCAAGAACAGAAACACTCACCGGAACCTACTTACACAGTCAGCTTTAAGAAGTGCAGACCTCTTAGAAACTATCTAGAACCACATCATGGGAACAGTAGCAATAACCCAAGCCCTACACTATTTGGTGACCATGGGCTTCGTGCCAGTCCCTGTGCAGAGTGCTGGGGACTTACGGAGATAAAAGGCACAGGCCTTGCATGTGACCTTGTGCCATTTATCTTGACCCATTTGCATGCCACCTGTTAAGCGGCTGGGAATTTTCCCAGCGTTTGACTTGGCAATTCTATTAAAACTGTAATCTGACTACTAAGCCCTGTGATCTGACTCCAGGCTCACCATGTAACTTTCTTGGAATAAATTAGCTATCACGCAGCCTACCTGGAGGTTTAAAATGTGCTATTTGCACATTTGCTATCACCTAAGCCCATTCATTAGCAGCAACGTTTCTCATTTAAAGTTGATATGGTTCCATTCAGGTTTATATTAATAGATCATTGTGATGAGCAAGTTTATTCCTGAAAGAGCAGATATTGCCATGCCTACAGATGAGATCTGTGAGGACAACACAGTGGAACATTTTACCAAGGTAATGTCACATTACCAGGACCCATCTGCCCATCTACTGGCCCTTCCCCAGTGGTCCTGTGATTGTGCACTTTCCTTGAATCCTGAATCTTGCTTGTGTCATTTAGGTTGTAGCATTTTAGATTCCACTGGCATGTGAACATCTTGAAGGAATTCAATCATTTCTTTAACTAATATCTGTTGAGCATCTCTGAGGGGCCTGATGCTATTCTAGGCAGTAGGAAAAGAGCCATAAGAAGTCAAACAGCACGCCTTCTCCATGATGCTTATTGTAGATGTGGGAAGGGTGGTGGTGGTAGAAAGACAGATGTTGAGCAAATAAATAATACCAGACAGTGACCAGTGTCACTGAGGGAGGCTACTCTACATCTGAAATATGTTCCTTCCAAAAAGATCGTATAGTCTGTTGGGTAGGGTATAGACAAGACAAAGCAAAGCAGGGAGGCCATTTAGAAGACTAGACCTGGAGGTCGGGTAATAACGGAGGCTGAGTAGGAAACAACGGGGAAGACGGAGAAAAGTTTGAAAGTTCAAGGCACATCTGGAAGATATGGGTGGGTAGTAAGTCTTATATATCTCCTGAGGCCTTGCACTACGTATACAGCAGGTACTCAATAAGTATGCACTTATTTGGCATGCACTGGATTGAATCAAATTGAAGAAAGATGCCTTGACTGAGAGAGTCAAAAGCTTAGCATATCTTTATCTTACAATTTAAATATTTAGCACTCTGGATAAAAGAGATTCTTATTTTACTCCTCAGGAAGGTTTAAATCATAGTCAAACTCCTCATATAAATATACATATACACACACACATATATACTCACACATATATGTATCACACCAGATCATGAAAAGGCTCTTTAAGCAAACAGTTCAAAAGGAAGCTGCCAGTGTTTTACGTAACTTCCATTTCTAGCCTATCTGTTTCAAATCTGGGCAGAGACCAAGTCAGGAAAGAAAACTGAAAGTCCCAGGTTTGTGTTATCACCTGCTTCTCATTGCCATGCAAGGTTCCATGAAGGAGAGAACCGCCTACACTTTCTAAATTCCTTCCATCCCTGTTTCAAAGGCAAGGAACCCAGAATCAAGCCACTGGTGGGCTGGCCCTGGGCTTGGCCTTGCTACAGATGACTGAAATCGTCTTTGCCATACTTTGAGAATAGGGTGACATCAGGTAGAACTCACCTGAGGAACCCAGGGATATTTGACCACAGGTTTCTGGAGAAAAAGAAATACACACAAAAGATTATGACTGAGAGAAAGACAGTGACACCTGATTAATGCTGGAGCTTGGACTCAAACTGTAGCATAGAGAAGTCAGATCTAACAAGGCTGTATCTAGCCAGTTTTTAAAACCAAACCCTGGGCCAGACACTATGTGTTATATTATACCACATTCACCTAACCATGAATTCATTCCCATTTTACAGATTAAAGAAACCATGGAGAAAAGAATTTAAAATAATTGTGTGGCAGTTCAGACCTAGTTAAGTTGCACTTCTGGGATTCAAACTCAAAACCCTGTGTTTTCTTTAGACTTCATTGTACTTTCCCACAAAAGTATAGTTGTTGCACCCAAAAACAGTACTGAGAAGCCATTCTGGTTAGTTCTTCCAGGGAAGCAATGGGATGTGGTTTAATTTCTGAGCATCTTGAGAAGAAAGAAAGAGCTTGCCCAATCGCAGCTAAGCAGCCCAAGTGCTGAACTATGCTCTCTCATCCCTGATTACCCACTCTTAAGACAGAAGAGCATTTCCAATTATGTCAAGGAGTGTCAGGATATTCTGCAGAAAAAGAAAAAAAAAAAGTCACATTCACTCCATGTTGTTTAAGAAAATAATGGCTGACCAATTTATGATTTATATTTTCATTAAAGAAAATTGCTGCAATGTCAACCCTAAGATTTTTCAACTTCCCAACTGCTTGGGGGCAGCTTGTGTAGAATGTCCTGATGTCCATGCCACTTGTCTGAAATGGAACTCATCAACAACCTCTTCTGCCACTTCCTAAGGAGGCTCTTACACCAACTTCTTAATTTCTGCAAATCCCAATGTGACGTCCAATCCACTAGGGTTTGGACCACACACCCTGGGAAGCATTTCCAAGACACATTCATTTCTGTAGCCTCCAGATCCTTGCATGGGACAGGGATAAAGTCAGGAAGTCCTGGACTTTTCCTGAAGCCAGACATTAACACACGCCCGTTTCACCCTGTGGGTCCAGTAGAGTCTCTTCCAAAGGATGAGTCCTCAGCAGATGTTTGTTCCATTGACTATCTGAGTACACATGATGTATTTTATTTGTAGAGATGAACCATCATGTTTTACCCCCTCTCAGAACTCAAACTAATATACAAGAAGGCAGGCAGACAGGCAGGCAGGAAGGAAAAAAGTCAGGAAAGAAGCTGGGAGGAAGAGAAGAAGGGAGGGAGGAAGGGAAGAGTATGAAAAGCGGAAGTCCTTGGTTTTAATCTCTTTCAATAACAATTAAAAACGCATTTAACCCTCATGATTGAATGCCTAGCTGTTAGCAGCCCCTGTACCTGGATGCCACCGTGGAGAACCATAGATGAAGCTACCCCAGAAAGTCACACAGGAGGGGGTGGGACAGGGCCGCCCTGTATCTGGAAGATTCTGCCTGAGATGGAAGCTTCCAGCATCCATAGCTTTGTGCTGTTGATCATTTTTCATAAATCCCCATTGTTTCATTTGCTCAACTCTAAAAAAACTTATTGTTCTTTGCTTCCCTCCCACCCTATCCAATAAAATAAAACTAATATTATGGTGTCATTTGAAAATATATTTATGTTTGTTTTCTCTATAAAAAGAGATAATAATGTTATGTTCCAATAATATTAAGTTGCAATGTTATTTGCAAGATTGCAGAGCTTTTAATTTTCTGATTATTTCCACAGTGGGAGTTTCAGCTCAATTTCAACGAAGACACTTCTATCTGTTTCGGTTATTTTTTTATTACAGCTAGAAGCAACAATAATTGCCTTTAGTGTAGGAAAACATCACGGAGGAGACAATTGTTGTCCCCAAAGAATAAGATCAT